ATGTACAATTCAGTGACATTGATTACGTTCTTCCAGTTGTGCTGCTATTCTCACTTTAGATGAAGGTTTACAGAACAAAATATTTTCTCATTAAACAGTTAGTACACATGTTGCCCTATGACAATGGTTAACAACCCCACTACAGGTCAACACTGTCCTTACTCAACCTTGGGTTCCCTATCACCAGCTTTCCTGTCCCCTTCTGCCTTCTAGTCCCCGTCCCTCGACTCCTGTGCCTCATTAGTTCCATTTTGTTTTATGGGGCTGTCCAGTCCCCAGCTGAACGGTGAACCTCAGAAGTGAATTCCCTACAGAGCTAAAAGGGTGTCTGGGGGCCATACTCTTCGGGGTTTCTCCAGTCTTTCAGGCCAGTAAATCTGGTCTTTTGTGTGTGTGTGTGTGTGTGTGTGTTAGAATTTTGTTCTCCACCCTTCTCCAGCTCTGTCCAGAACCCTCTGTTGTGATCAGAGCAAACAGTGGTGGTAGCCACCGGGCACCATCTAGCTATCTTGGACTCAGTCTGGTGGAGACCTTGTTAGCTGTGGTAGATGAATTGATTCTTGGTGAACTGATTTTATGATTGATTTTAATTATTGACATTTTTGAACTGTTATACAGATCCATCATTCAAAATCAAGGAAGTATAAAAGTGAAAAGCCACCTCACCTCTGTCCCCAATCACACAGTTCTCTTCCCTGTAGACAAACAGTATTTTTATACGTTATCTTTCCAGAAATTTTATACTTTCTATATATACATATACATAGTTATACATGTACATACTCATGTATCTTTTAGCCTTTTCTCACAAAGTATAGCATAACCAGTACTGTCTTAATTTCTCTGTGGTCAGAGAACATACACTGCATTATTTCAGTCCTTTGAAATTTCTTGAGACTTGCTTTACCGCCCTATATGTGGTCTCTTTTGGTTAATGTTCCATGTGCTCTTTAAAAAAATGTATACTAATCAGTTCAGTGCAATGTTGTATTAATGTCAATTAGGTCACATTTATTAATCGTGTTTGTCAAATTTTCTCTATATTGATTTTTTGCTCTGCTTTTCCTGTCTATTGCTGATTGTGGGCTTGTTTCTCCATCTAGTTTTGACAGTTTTTACTTTATATATTTTGATACTATGTTATTAGGTACATATAGATTTAGGATTATTGTATCTTCTTTTTGGAGTCCTGCTTTTCCTGACAGTAGCTCAGCTACACTGGTTTTCTTTTGGTTAATCATTTTACAGTATAACTTTTTCCATCCTTCTACTTTGAACTTTTTTGTGTCATCATACTTAAGGTTTGTCTCTCATAAGCAGCATATAGTTGGGTTTTGTTTTATAATGAGACTAAAATTTTTTGCCTTTTAATTAGAATATGTAGACCATCTACACTTAATGTGATTGCTGATGTGTGTGTGTGTGTGTGTGTGTGTGTATTTGTGTGTGTAAATCTTTTTTTCTATTTATCCTGTTGTTTTATTTTCACTCTTTTCTTGCTTTCTTTTGGTTTAATAAGGTATAATTTATTATTCTGTTTCCCCTTTCTTGATGTCTTTTGCTAGTTTTGGGAGATTCTTGTACAGTATCTGTAAACACTGCCTCTGCCCCCATTCTCTTTCTCCTAGACTCCACTTTCATGACATTGGACCTTTTCACCATGCGATAGATGATTTTTACACTCTTTCCTGTATTTTCCATCTTCCAGTTCAGTAATCTCCCTGCTATGTCTAATCTGTTATTTTACCCATTTTTTGAATTCTTAATTTCAGTTATCATTTTCAGTTCTAGAATTTTTTTTTTTTAATACTGTGTTTTAGGTGAAAGTTTACATAGCAAATTAGGTTCCCATTTAACAATTTTTATATAGCTTGTTCCATGACATTGGTTACGTTTTTCATGTGTGAACATTCTCATTTTTTCCATTCTAGAATTTCATTTTGATTATTTTTTATTATTCCAGTTCTCTGTGAAATGTTTTACCTTTTTATTGAACATATTAATTATAAGTCTCAGATTACTTCAGTATGTGGATGAGTGGTAGGTGTGTTTCTGTTGCTTGTTTATTCTCTTGGTTTTTAGTCCTGGTCATTTGGTCCTGTCTCTTGGCATGCCTGGTCATTGGATGCCAGAATGAAAACATATAGAGGCTCTGGATGATGTTTTTCATTCCAAAGAGGATTTCTTTTTCTTCTGGCAGGAAATTAGCCATATGGACAGATCACCTTGGTCTTATCAGGCATTTGAGCTGTTTGGAGGCTGGTCTGTTTCCTGGCTTCCCTGAAGGGCGGTGGTTCTCAAACATTTTGGTCTCAGGACCCCTTTACGTTCTTAAAAATTGAGGATCTCAAAGAGCTTGTATGTGTATTATATCTATTGATATACTGTCAATAGCTATTGATATTAAAAACTAAAGCCAATAAATTTAAAAGTACTTATTTATTAATTCATTTGGAAATAACAATAGACGCATTACATATTATACACATTAACATAAATAGCATTTTATATGGAAAAGAACTATTTTCCAAAAAAAGTCTTCAGCAAGAATAGCGGCCTTTGTTTTACTATTTGAAATTTCTTTACTGTATGGCCTAATAAAAGACAGCTGAATTCTTGTAACTGCTTCTGCATTCAATCTGTGGTGATATCACAGGTGAGAGAATGAATGAACAGGGCAAACAAAATCTTAGTGTTATGAAAATGAATTTGACCTTGTGGTGCCCTGGAAAGGACCACGCTTTGAGATCCACTGCTTTAGGGTAGAGCCTTCAGTGGTCTCAGTGCAGCAGGGCGGCTGACAGCTTCTCCTCCCAACCTTCCCAGCACCAATACACTGCTGAGCCTTTCCTTAGCTTAGAAGTAGCTGTTGCTTGGTATCTTGGCAGCTCAGGAATGACAGACAGCTTGGAGGGAGACTGCATGCACAGCGTCCAGCTCGCGTCTCTGCATTTCCTTTTCCTGAGCATCTTGGCCTGTCGAGCCCTAGCTGACTTGGTAACCTTGAGCTCCCATTTTTCCTTCCCTACCCAGAGAGGCTGCTAAAAGGAGTAGGTAGCTGTTTTCTGCCCATCCTGTATGCCCTGCATGCAGATTGGCAAACACCCCCAGGAGGAAGAGCAGAGGCAAAAACGGGCCCTTCTTTGCATTTCCCTTCTCTCTGGGATCTTAGCCTCCAAAGTCCTGGCTGCTGTGGCTGGTCTCCAGTGCTTTTAAACAGTTTTGTTGGTTTTTTTCCCCTTTGCCATTTATTCATCTTGTGTAGCTATCAGCAGGAGTGTTAGTCTGAGACTAAGATCTCCACCATAGCTGGAAGTGGGCGTCAACACACAGTTCTGTAACTTGCTTTTTTCACTTAACAATTTCTCTTGGAGATCTTTCTGCATCTGCATATAAAAAGCCTCTTCCATCCTTTCCATTTCACAGTCTTATGGATGAGCCATCATTGGTTTAATTAGATGGTTTTCAATGTGTCGCTGCTACAAACAATCTGTAATTATATGTAGGTTTGTCGTGTATCTGTAGGTTAAACTCCTGGAATATTGTCATATTGAGAGCTGGCTTGTACCAATGTATCCTCACCTCAGCATGTCTGAGAAAGACAAGCTTGCTTTTAGCCAAATGGCCCTAGAGTCATGGCCAGACATGGCCTAGAACCTTCCCCCTGAGAAGGGTAAGGCTCTCCCCTCCCTTGCTAGCCCTGTGCCTCCAAGTCAGGTCACACCTGTGGTCTCTTCCAGGACACATTTGACATCCGGATCCTGATGGCCAAGTCTGTCAAGTACACAGTGAACTTTTTAGAAGCCAAAGAAGGAGATTTGCACAGGTACTGGCACCGGCACCCCATCCTCCCAGGCCTGGCTCATGCCGCTGTTCAGTTGGAGTTCTCTGCCCCAGGGCAGGTGGGCAGGGGCACCAGGACTCTGCACCTGGCCACCCACTTCTCTCCCAGCAGCCCGTTTGGCTTCCCCAGCAACCACTGCCCTTTGCCTTCCAGGATAGAAATCCCATTCAAATTCCACATGCTGCATTCAGGGCTGGTTCACGGTCTGGCTTTCTGGTTTGACGTTGCTTTCATCGGCTCCATGTGAGTGCAACCGAGCAGACCATGCTGCCCCCTGTCCCACTCCTGGGGCCTTCCCTACAGTGTGACCCCCCAGGCCTGGGGGTTGATGCTGAGTTGTGGTCTGGGAGGCGGGACCTGACTCCTCCAGGTTTCACTGTCCTTTCCAAAGGGTAGCAAGAGCTCCACTTTGAGTAAGAGACTGTTGTGAGAGGGGCATGTGTGTCCGTACTGACTGTCCCTCATGGGACCTTGACTATGTGTCCCTCAGCATGTGTATGTCAGGGTGAGTAGGCGTCCTGTGGTTGAGTCTCTCGTGTGTGTGTGTGCACGTGCGCATGTGTGTGTTTGCACATGTACACGAGGGCAGGCACCAGGGAGAGCTCAGTGTGCAGGGTGGTGGCCTGAGTGGTGGCTCCGGCCCAGTCAAGTGTGTGCCTGTTCCTGCTTGGCAGAATGACCGTGTGGCTGTCCACAGCCCCAACGGAGCCCCTGACCCACTGGTACCAGGTACGGTGCCTGTTCCAGTCACCACTGTTCGCCAAGGCCGGGGACACGCTCTCAGGGACATGTCTGCTTATTGCCAACAAAAGGTGCAACTGGCCCCTGGGGCTAGGGGAGGTAGGGTCCACCCACCCCACCCAGCAGGGTATGCCATAGGGCTGAGTTGGGGCTCAGGGCTGCCTTCCCCTTTCCTCTCCACAGACAGAGCTACGACATCAGTATTGTGGCCCAGGTAGACCAGACGGGCTCCAAATCCAGTAACCTCCTGGATCTGAAAAACCCCTTCTTCAGGTAGTACAGGCCCTCAGCCTGCGTGGGGGGCCCCTCCTGGCCCTGCAGCCCCCTCGGCCCTGCCCATGGGTCCATCTCTGCCACAGATACACAGGCACAACGCCCTCGCCCCCACCTGGCTCCCACTACACGTCTCCCTCAGAGAACATGTGGAACACGGGCAGCACCTACAACCTCAGCAGTGGGATGGCCGTGGCTGGTGAGTTGTACCCCCACCCCCGCAGCCCAGGGCCCACCCCTTGGGGAAAGCGCTTACTGGTCCCATCTGCCAGTGCTCCCTGGGAAGAGCTGGCCCCTCCTCTGTCCCAGGCCTGCCCCTTGCACCTCGCACAGACACTTCCCGACATCTCCTTCTCTGGGCACAGGGATGCCGACTGCCTATGACCTGAGCAGTGTTATTGCTGGTGGTTCCAGCGTGGGCCACAACAACCTGATTCCTTTAGGTGAGTGTTAGCCAGGGTCTGGGGAGTGGTCGGGGGGCGGAGCCCAGGACTGGCCTGGGCCAGGAAAGGGCTTGTGGCCCGGCCTACCTTGGCTTTTGCTTGGTCCTTTTGCACCGTCGACATCTTTTCTCTTCCTGGGGGCTCTTGGCTGAGGCCGTCCGTTCCTCTCTGCCTCACTCTGCTGCCTCTGCACCCGCCCTCCCCACACCCCTGGTGTGAAAGGCGAGTGAGCGCCCACCCCCGACGAGCGTGGACTGCTGTCACAGGCCAGGGCAGGCTGGGGGCGGTGACGCCGTCTCCCTTCCCTCCTTCCTCCTTCTCACTGCGCAGCCAACACGGGGATTGTCAATCACACCCACTCCCGGATGGGCTCCATAATGAGCACGGGGATTGTCCAAGGTAACCGTGGGAGGAGGCGTGGGCTCCGCGGGCGGGGGCGGGCAGCTAGTGTGTGAGTGTGCTGTCTTCCGGGCCACAGCCCTGCCCTCTCGCCTGCTCTGTCTCCTCTGACTCTGCTGTGGGTCCAAGGGGGCGAGAGGGCAGAGCTGGCCCTTCAGTGCTGCCGCCCCACCCCACAGGGTCCTCTGGCACCCAGGGCAGCAGCGGCGGTGGCTCAAGCGCCCACTACGCAGTCAACAGCCAGTTCACCATGGGTGGCCCCGCCATCTCAATGGCCTCACCCATGTCCATCCCTACCAACACCATGCACTACGGGAGCTAGGCGCCTCCAGGCATCATCGAACGGACTGACAGCACCAGGAAACCAAATGAAGACCTGCCCACCCCTCTGTGCTGGGGGGCTCTCCCCCCTGTACTGGAGAAGCCCGAACCCGGTCACAGCCCTCTTTGCTATGGGAACTTGGACACTTTTTTACACAATGTTGCTGCCGCCCCACCCCTCAGCCCCCACATCTTGGCCCTGGGCGTGTGTCGCTGCCATATTTTACACAAGATCATGTTGTGGGAGCCCTTGTCCCCAGTCTGCCCTCTCCACCCTGACCTGGGTTTGACATCTTCTGTAACAGGCGTGTCTGGTCTGAGAGCTGCGGACCCAGGAGGGGAGTGAGAAGGGGAGGCAGCTGCCCTGCAGCCCAGGCTGCCCAGCCCTGCCCCGGCTTGTCCCTCAGCGCCTACCCCCTTGCCTGTCTCTAGTGGGAAGGCAGCCCTGGCTGGGCGGGGCCTTCCTTTCAACTACCAGGCCTTGGTCACAATGGGCGTGACATGCTGCTTTTTTTTAATTTTATTTTTTTACGAAAAGAACCAGTGTCAATCCACAGACCCTCTGAGAAATCAGGCCGGCCGGGCCGAGCCAGCAGCCCCTCTCCCCAGACTCAGAGGCTTAGCGGTGAGGGGCAGGAGTGGGCCAGACCTCTGGGGTACCCATAGCCCCCACACCAAAGGGTTCACCTCACACTTGAATGTACAACCCAGCCTGGCTGTGGGGAAGGCCCTCTGTCCTTGGCCCCTGCCTCTTGCTGCTGTCCTGTCGCTGAGACCCTGCAGGTCCCCTCTCCACCCTCGACAAGAGCTAGAGTGGGCAGCCCCCAGACCCTGGCCTGGAGGGAAGGTTCACCCAGAGGCTGCTGGGGCAGACCCAGAAACCTCAAGGATCTGTCACAGAAGGCACCCCTTTCCCGTAGCTGACTTTAGGCCTGTGTATCTCCCCTCGGTACTTGTAGACGCTCCAGTCCCTACTTGTATTATGGCATTTTGGTTCCTCTCCACATGGGGACGGGGCCTTGCAGAGAACTCTCCCTCCAAAAAAAAAAGGCAAAATAAACAAGGAAATGGATGTTTCAGCACAGGCAGTTTTCTTCTTCTTCTGCTCCCCCTTTTTCTAACACCCCAAACTCAGATGTACGGGAGCTCAGTGTAGGCCCAAAGCCCCATTCATTGTGTACCTAGGGAAGGGAGGGCACAGTCGGGGCCAGGGCCTGCCCCCCTCCCGTTCTTGGCCGGTGTCAGGGAAGAAGGCCCAGCAGGCAGGCTGGGGGGTGGGTAGGCCCTGGTCCCGCTCCACACAGTGTCACCCGAGCCACACTGGAAGCTCCCTGCTCGGCTGCCCCCTCCCTGCCTTTATATAAACTCTCTGAATCACCTTTGCATAGAAAATAAAAATGTTTGCTTTGTAAGAAAAGTCTGGAAAGTAGCAGAGTGATCTTGAGGTATCAAAGCAGTCTTCAGTCATTATCTGGGGGCAGGACAGGCAGAGGTGTCCCTTATGTTTCGCCTGAAAGAGAGAATCCTAGTTGCGGCCCCATGACTTCCAGTCTGGGGGTCCCGCTGGCTGGACAACCACTCCTTACCTGCAAGACGGTAGCCTTCCTAGGAGGCTGTGATGGACCGTGGCAGGGTGGGTGGCAGCAGTGTGTGGGGGTGCAGAGATGTGGCTTGGGGTGGAGGTGCCATGTGTTCTGGAGGCAGTGGCTGGAAGAAGTACAACTGGAACGAGCCCGCAGGGTCAGTGTCAGACCAGAAGCAAGTCCACCCCCAGCCCTGCAGCTCAGCCTGTGACCACCCACACCTGTACCTTGCAGCCCAGGGCCAGGAGGGTGTGGAGCAGCACCACCGTGGACAGCAGTGCCGCGGCTGCTAGCCTGCTGTCCTCACGGACAACGGGCCAGAGGGCGAACACCAGGCCAGCGGCTGAGAGGGCCAGGGCCAGCACCCCAAAGAGCCACTGCAGCCATGGGACAGGGATGAGCCACAGGACCTGGAGGGCGACATGGGCTGCTGGCTATCATGGTGTCCAGCTGTCCGCACAGCATCTGAGCCCACCCTGCCCGGGCCGCACTCACCACAGTGGGAATGAAGATAAAGAGGGAGTAGCCGTAGATGCACACTGTCTCCAGGAAGGTGTACGGCCCCATGCGCTCTCGAACACCCTTGCGCCACTGTAGGAAGCCCCACAGTGCCAGCGGCACCAGCCACGCGTAGCAGTAGATGGTGATGCCTGCCACGGTTACTGGAGACGAGGAGCCCACAGGCAGTCACCCCCAGGGCCCCACCAGGACCCCCAGCCCCGCTGACCTGCTGTGCCTTGCCCGCCGGGCTTACCCTTGTGGAATTGGGGGCTGTAGTGAATGGAGGGGTCCCTCCTCTGGGCCAGCAACAGTGTCAGGTTGCCAGTGATGGCCAGAACGAAGGCCAGTGTGGCACAGATCCAGAAGGGGCCTGTGGGTGGCGTGCAGTCAGGGTCCGGGCCCAGAGCTCCTGGGACAGATGGACTCATCCCATCTTGAGTGTGCTGGGACCCCAGCCTCTTCCCGAGCTCAGGGCTGCCTCCACTCCCACTGCTCCACTGGCTGGACTCTTGTCCAGGTCACCAGTGATCTCCAATCTTTCTTGGCCTCATGCCAGCCTCTGATGTGGCTGAGGCCTCTTCCTCCTGGAAACACTCTCCACGCAGCTTCCAGGACCCCACACGCTTGGCTTCTGGCTCATCTCCGCCTCTTGTTGCCTCTCCCCACCCCCAGCTCTACGAGGGACAGCGAGCCCAAGGCTCAGTCCTTGGCCCTCTTCTCCATCTGTACTCAGTCCAAGTGACCTCATCTGACTCGTGGCTTTATATGCCACATCTATGCTGACTGGCAAACGTCTTGAGCCTAGGCCTGTATCTGGAACTGCAGGCTCTTCATCCACGTTTCCAGTTGGGGGTCTCCTAGGTGTCTCACACTCCACCCCACATGCTTGCTCTCCGCAGTTTTCCCCATGAGTAAGAGACTCCATCTTAGTAGTCCAGGCAGAATCCTCAGAGTCATCCCTGGCTCCTGTTCTCCCACCCTACGTCCAGTCTGTCAGCAAATCCTGTCCTTGAAGCTCCACCTTCAAACCATATTCTGGAATCCAACCACTCCTCCCTATCTCCACAGCCTCCACCCTGGGCCAGGCCCCACTATCCCATACCTGGACCATGGAAGTCACCTCCTCCCTGGTCTCCTGGCTTCTGCCCTGGTGCCCCACGGGGCTGAGGTAGCCTACAAGCATTTAACTCCGATCCATTTCCTCCTCACCACAGCACAGAAGGCCTGTGCAATCCATCACCTCTGCGATCTCCTACCAGCTCACTCCACTCCAATGATACTACTGCCCGGCAGTTCTACGCGTTTTTGCCCTGGCTGTTTCTGCGCATCCCGCTCCTGCTCCAAACCCTTCCGTGACTCTCCATCACCCTTCTTTTGCCCTGGCTGTTCCCTCTTCCTGGAATGCTCTTCCCCTGCTCCCTGTCACCTGCTACCACTCCTTCATCTCGCTCCCCAGAGGCCTTCCCTGAGCAACCGTGCAAAACAGCATCGTTCTTCACCCTCTAGGCTGCTTTGCTTCTCTTCCTGGCACCATCGCCCTCTGAGATCCTCTCTGTCTCTCTGAAGAGAATATAAGTTTATTGCTCTCCATGAACAACTCTGCTTTCGTCTCAGCTGTATTTCCAGGGCCTGGCATTCAGTCCACATTTTGTTGAATGAATAATCAAACGGACTCAACGCAAAACCTCACTGACCGTACAAGTCTGGCCGACTCCGCAGATGGTGCCGTACAAAGTTGTGGCCAGGCCAGGGCAGCAGCGAGCCTTTGATCCGGTCCAGGACCTGGGGAGGCAAGGCCGGGGCCTGGGATGGAAGCCCACCAGTGGCTCCTCACCACGCACAGAAGAAAGGGGGACAAGTTCCTCTCTGGGCCTTTCAGATTCTTCCCTGCTGACATCCAGTCTCCTCTCCCTCCACCCACTAACTCAAAGAGCTCTGACTTCTGGGCTTCTGCAGCCCCGTCCATGGCTAGCTCCCACTCAACGTCCCATTCTGCGCCTGCCATCTTCCTGTGTGCCACTTTCTCCTCCTCTCAGTTTGCTCCCCTTAACTGCCCTTGCTGCCTATCCTCTTACTCCCCAATCAGAGTAGTCAGCAAGTCCTGGGCACTCTCCTTCCTGTAACTCACTCCAATACAATGCACTCCTGGTTTATCATCATCTCCCACCTTACCCGGGGCCTCCGATCCCCACTCCTGCTCTATACCCTTCCACAACTCCCCGTCACCCTCATGATAAAATCCAAGCTCCTTAACTTAGCTCATGAGGTCCTTTGTGATCTGGCTTCTGCCTGCTTGTCCTACCGCATCCTGCAGCACTGTCCTCATCTCACTCTCAGCCAGATTCAGTGACGTGCAGTTTCCACAATAGTTCATGCCTTCTCTCACCTCTGCTCCTCTGCTTATGCAGCTCCCTGTACCTGGAACACACCTAAGCTTCCCTCCACTCTGCCCAGGTAATTGTTCATTATCCTTCCCAAACCCAACCCACTGCCATCGAGTCAACTCCAACTCACATCGACCCTACAGTACAGAGTAGAACTGTCTCATAAGGTTTCCAAGGCTGTAAATCTTCACAGAAGCAGACTGCCGTATCTTTCTCCCGCAGAGCGGCTGGTGAGTTCGAACTTCCAACCTTCTGGTTAGCAGTCGAGCGCTTAACCACTGAGCCACCAGGGCTCCTTAGATCTCAGCAAATTCCTCACCTACTCAGAAGACCTATCCTTGACCCAGATCAGTTGGGCCCCCTGTATTCCCACAGGCCCTAAAACCAAAAACCAAACCCAATGCTGTTGAGTCGATTTCAACTCATAGCGACCCTACACGACAGAGTACAACGTGCCCCATAGGGCTTCCAAGACTGTAAATCTTTACAGAAACAGATCGCCACATCTTTCTCTGGTGGAGCGACTGATGGGTTGAAACGGCTGACCTTCGGTTACCAGTCGAGCGCTTAACCACTATGCCACCAGGGCTCCTTGCCACAGCCCCATTCCCACCATGATCTTTATACAGTGGCACAGGTATTTCTACCACCCTGAGTGGACCTGCGTAGGTATGGCCAGCACCCTGCCCAGGGCCTGGTGCACAAGAAGTACTCAGTGAATACTGGCTGAACCCCAAGCAAGATTCCGAGTCCATCCCACCAGCTTCCAGGGCCTGACCTGCGAGGTGTCCACGTCAAAGAAGCTCTGATAGTAGCCAAAGGTCCAGAATCCCGGCTGCTGCTTCTCCCCCTGCAGGAGCTGTACAGCAAGGCTTTCAGTGCCTGCCCCTAGAGCCTGGGCCAGCGAGGGGCTGCACGGGGGCACGGCACAGGGCACATATGTGACTCACCGCGGCCTTGTCACTCTCCTCTTCCACCTCCTCCTCGGCTCCATAGCTGCCACCCAAGCCCATGGCCACAGCCACGTGTCCCTGTGGGGTTGGCTGGTCATTTTTGCTCGTGGTGACCGCATCTGGGGTCTCAGCCAGGAGATCAGTGGCTTCCTGGAACTCTGTGAAGAAGGAATATGAGACACGGGCATGTTTTGGGGGCCTACATTCAACTTGGCCCCTGCTCAGCTGGGAGCAGAGCTCTGGCTATGGCACCTCAGTGCTCTCCACCGACACCAGGGCAGCCCGAGTTTCTCAGTCCGGGAGACGGGAAAGAGGTCTGTACCTTACAAACATGGGACTCCAACTTAGGGTCTGGGGTAGTTCTGTTCTAGGAGGGGTCATGGACTTTGCTAGAAGCTCTGGCTTGAGGTCTGAGCTCAGGGCTTGAGTGGGGTTGGAGTCAGAGATGGGTTTCACTTCTGGTTCAAGGTTCAAGTCTGGGGTCAGGGTTCACAGTGACTGGGGTTAGATATGAGATGGAACCTGGGTAGGTGGTTCTGGCCGGGTAGGGGCTGTACTCACCATGGAAGGTCAGCTCATCTGCCGCTGCCATGGCCGTCTAGGGGCGTCACCGCATCCCGCTCTAAGAACAGAGACCGATCAGGCCCGCCCCCTCTGGCCCCCTCCCGGGGCCTGTCCCTTAGCACGGCCTGGCGTCTAACAGCCCCCATGTGGGTTTGTACTCGCCGCCCCGCACCTACAGGTGTGCCGCCCCGCACCTACAGGTGTACCCCCCCCACCTCACCTGAGGCTACTCAGCCGGCGTGGCCTGGGCTCTCTGCGCCTGCGCGGCCCGCCTACTTGCGGAGGCCCGAGAGCCGGAGGCTCATACCACTGGGACTGGACAGCAACATCCGGCGCCGGTCCTTCTTCTCTCCTCTTCCGATGGGAAGCCATTTCCGGCGGCCTTGGCGGTTGCACGGCAGGGACTACCGGGCCTTTTACTGCGTGTACCGAGCGTTTCTCTTCGGGGAACGGACGCCAAGCCGGAAGAGAATGGCGGCGGCCGCCCTGAAACGACTTTGGTCTCGAAGCCGCGAAGAGGCGGCCGACGCGGCAGTTGCGAAGCCGGGCGTGTGGGCGCGTTTGGGTGAGTAGCAGCGGGAGGTGGCGGGGTGAGTGGCCACAGCGGCGGGGTCGCTCTTACTGTGCTTCTTTCCCCTCAGGAACCTGGTCCCGCGCGCTGCTCCGGGACTACGCCGAGGCCTGCGGGGACGCGGCGGCGGCAGCCCGGGCCCGGCCGGTACGGGCAGCCGTGTACGTGGGGCTGCTGGGCGGAGCGGCGGCTTGCTGCGCGCTGGCGCCGAGCGAGGCGGCCTTCGAGGAGGCGCTGCTCGACGCATCTGGGACCTTTCTGCTGCTGGCGCCGGCCACGCGTAACCGCGACTCCGAAGCATGCCTGCAGCGACTTCTCTGGCTGCGGGGCCGCGGCCGCCTGCGCCACCGGAACCTGGGGTTCTGCTCGCTCGTGTACGAGGCGCCCTTCGACGCCCAGGCCAGCCTCTACCAGGCTCGCTGCCGCTACCTGCAGCCCCGCTGGGCCGACTTCCCGGGCCGGATCCTGGACGTGGGCTTCATGGGCCGCTGGTGGGTGCTTGAGGCCCGGATGCGCGACTGCGACATCAACGACGAGGAGTTCCTCCACCTCCCTGCGCATTTACGCGTCATCGGGCCTCACCAGCTGCGCTCGGAGGCCAACGAGCGGCTCTTCGACGAGAAGTACAAGCCCGTCGTGCTCACCGATGATCAGGTGGACCAGGCGCTGTGGGAGGAGCAAGTCTTGCAGAAGGAGAAGAAGGACAGGCTCGTCCTGAGCCAGGCCGACTCTCTGGTGCAGTCGGAGGCCCCGAGGTGAAACCCAGTGGTGCCAGGGTCCGAACGAGGGTTTCATAGGGCTCCAAGTTCTGGCAGGCTGCCTGGGATTGTGCAGTTGGTGTGAGTGGGCCCAAATGCAGAGTGCCTGAAAAAAAGGATGTGCAGAGTGCTCTCTCGGCGCCGGGTATTTACAAAGCTGGAGAGCTTTTCTCTCTCTTACCTTGTTCCTTGTTAGTTTGAAGTTAATTCAGAGCGGTCTTGTTCTAGGGGTGTGATTATAGAACGTTTATTACTACCAGAGTTAGTAATGAGGATTTTACATAAGGTGTTTACATTGGGCCTCACAGTTCCCTGGCTGAGGCACCACGTTTGTTGTCGGGTGACTCCCATGCTTTGCTAAAACTATCCAGATGTGGGTTTGTTTGTTTTTTTTTTTTCTTTTTAGCAGAAATGTTTTTATTCTATGATCTATTTTTCCTTTTTATAAGTAACTTTTTTGTTTTAATTTTTTAATTTTTTATTCTGAGATAATTACAGGTTCATTGGAAGTTGGGAAAATAATCGTAGAGACAACCAGCGTACCCTTCACCCAGCTTCCCCCACTGGCAACATCTTACATAACTAGTATGCTGTCAGAGTCAGGAATTGATGTTGATACGACCCCTTAGATTTTACAAGGATATTTTTTACTTAACAGTAGCCTTGAGGGATAAAGTGTTTCCTGATATGGAATCAGAGATTTTGGTTATATTATACTTCAGTAACCCTGAAAACACAATCCTGCAGCTGAAAAGGAATAAGCAAGTAAGCGTACATAGCTGGTATTTAGCTAGGTTATGGTGATCATACGTTTAAAACTAAAATATGAGGGGAATGAGACTCTTATCATCAGGGTGGCCTGTGGCTAGTTAATAAAACTAGGAGATAAAACATCCATCTTTGCTGTAGTGTTTGTGTGTTTTACCACTTTTAAGTTTTGGTACTTGGACTTTTCATTCATAATATGAGTGCATTAGGCACATAATAACTTTTATATTCTTATTTCTGGGGTAGGGGGAGCACGTTATAAGTCAGCATTCTTATTTTACAGAGGAAACAGCTGAGGTTCAGGAAGTTTGTTAACTTTTACAGAGCCATGATTCAGACTCTGAAACTCCCAGTGCTGTGACTTAACTCAAGCTTTAGTCACAAAATTATTTCACTGATATCTTTTGCCTTAGGTAAAATAGGAATATAGGGATAAAGAAACAAATACAAAAAATAAATACAGTGAAAACAAAGACAAGACAAATGATACTAGATTCTAACCCTATACTGTTACGTGCCAAAGGCACTGGACCTAAATACTACAGTCTTTGTTAAAGAGACAAAGATTAACCAATTTCAGAAAAGGGGTTAAGCCACACTGCCATCAAAGTGCGACTTGTTCCTCACTGCAAGCAGAAGTATTGAAAGAGAATTGCACATCTTTAGTGCTTGAGTCAGTTATTAAATGCCATTTCTGATTTCTACCTGGGGCGTGTTCCTTGCACACCCCCTGTAGCTGCAGGGAGCTGTGAGCCTTGGTGCGGTGGTTGGCCACAACCAAACATCTCTCAAGTTTTTGTGCAGGAATTGCCTGTGTGGAAGAATTGCCTGAAGTCTGTGTGGCTTGTCTCTTCAGAGGGTCGGCCTTGCCCAGAGCAGAATCTATACCATATTTAGGCCCCCTTCCAGTGCTCTGGCCTCCTGGGTCTGGTGTAAGAAGTGAGCTGTTAGATCAGCCAGGAGACTGGGTGGACCTGGCACTGTGCATCGTGGAGCTTGGAAAGGCTCCCTGAGGACACATCCAGGTCTCCTTGTTCACTGCTGAGCTCCCAGCTCCTCACAGTGCTCGGCCCAGTGGACATCAGTCAGTGTTGAAAGAGTTTAACATACGAGATACTGCGTGTGCATGCTGTAGGTGGGAGCTGGTATGGTCCTCATAGAGGGGAAGCGGATCAAGGTTGGATCCCCGGCCTTTGGCCAGCCCAGGGGGAATGGTCCTCCAGTGTCGGTCCCACTCAGTACCAGAAACAGGGCAAAGTGGGGAGATTGCCTATGTTCCTGTAAAGGCAGTAGGATCTCAAGGAGAGATGGGCTTTAAAGTCACAGTTTGAATCCCAGCCTTTACACTTACTAGCTGACTTCTCTAAGCCTCAGTTTCCTTAAGGGAATAATTCCTTCCGGAGTGGTTAAAAAAAATCAGTAACCACACCAAAGCACGTGGTACAAAGTAGGCATTCACAGCCCATAGTGTGCCTGTGTGAGGAAGATGATGGCCCTAAACCCCATCCTCTGCCCTTCCTGAGTTAGTCTTGGACGAGGAGCAGTGCTCCTTAGCCTCGCTGCTGGCACGTGGGAAGTGGGAGTGAAGGATGAGTGTAGCCAAGGCGGGCTTGTCTCAGGGTCAGAAGACACTCAAGTTTAATAACGAAAATGTTCAAGGTCTCCTTTTTCCTTAAAATTTATTCTCAGATTAGCTTGTCCTCCAGTATGTCCTAAGTGCTGAATCTTTCCAGCTGTTGTTATTGGAAGGACCAGCAGAGGGCACCCGAGATTCAGAGAAGTTGATGCCATCCTCCTTGCTTTAGCCCACGTGGGATGGGTAGCCGTTTTCTTTTGTTCTGTGAAGCGGTGGGTGGATGGAGTGCATTTACCACATGCATCAGTTTGCTGCTCTTTAGAACCAGATAAATGATGGCAGATGGAGTCCTGGTGGAACAGTGGTTAAGTATTCAGCCAGCTAACCTCCCGTAAAGATTACAGTCTCCGAAACTCTATAGGGCAGTTCTACTCTGTCCTATACGGTTGTTACAAGTTGGAATTAACTCGATGGCAGCGGGTAGATGATGGCAGAAGTCAGGGCTATGGGGAGGGGCCGCATGCATCCCAGGAATGTGCACCTCCGCCTTCTCAGTGGCGGTTGAAGGAGGCTGTGAATGGTTGTACTTGCACAGGCAGTGCCCTCCCCTTGAGGAAACCTCTCCTGTCTCGTTCCAGAAATTCCTGGAGGGGCAGGATCACCTGGCTGGTCCTGGGATCATGTCCATTTCCCTAGTTTGCTGGGAGTTGTGTTGAAGCATCTAGGACCATGACGGGTGAGGGAAGCAGGTGCTCAGGGCACAGAATTTAAGGAGGCCGGCACTCCCTCTCAGGGTCATGCAAGCACTTGCCTCGCCCTAGTCCTCACCTTGCAGCATCCTGTACCCAGCTGGGTCACCTGCATGCACGGGGTGGGGTCATGCAGTCCTCCCCTGCCCCTGATGCCACAGGCTCTTACAAACATCCGCAAGTAGAATAGTACAACAAATCCCATGTACTCATAACCCAATTCCACAATTATTAAGATTTTGCTACCTCTGAGGAGCCCTGGTGGTACAGTGGTTAAGTGCTCTGCTGCTAACTGAAAGGTCAGCAGTTTGAACCCCCTGGCTGCTCCATGGGAAAAAGATGTGGCAGTTGGCTTCCGTGAAGATTTACAGCCTTGGAAACCCTATGGGTCAATTCTACTCTGTCTTATAAGATTGCTATGAGTCGGAATTGACGGCACTGGGTTTTTTTGTTTTTTGTTGTTTTTTTTTTTGTTTCCTCTGTCCCTTTTTTATTTTTCTTTACTGAAGTATTTTAAAGCAAACCCCAGACATCATACCATCTCATGCTTACAATGTCAGTATACATTTTCTCACATAACGACAATGCCATTATTACACCTAGCAAAATTCACAACTCCTTGGTGTCATCTAATATACCATCTGTGATTGCATTTTCCTGATGGTATCAAAAATGTCTTTTTACAGTTTGCATTTTAATCTAGAAAAATCCTCCCTCTTCACATCTCTGACTTACTGCAGAAAGTGGGTCAGTTGTCTTGAGGAATAGCCCACATTCTGGATTTGTTAATTTATTGTGCCATTTAACTTGTTCTTTTATCCCCCACTGGTCCTGTAATCAATAACCCTCAACACTGAGTGCATGTTGGGTCCACATAAACCAAAAAAACCAAACCCGTTGCCATCGAGTTGATTCCAACTCA